TTTTGGTTTTTTTGGTTTTGGTTTTTTTTGGTTCTTTTTTTTTGTTTTGTTTTGGTTTTTTTGGTTCTTTTGGTTTTGGTTTTTTGGGATTTGCTTTTTTTAAGGTTTTCCTGGATTGGCTTCTGAGGAACTCGAAATGCACTTCCCTTGGGTAGTCTTAGACTCCTTCCATTAAAGGATGAAATAATGCATTATACGATTATATTCTATGAAATGTGTAAAAGCGTAGCGGTAGAATTTGACCCCCGAACCAATTAATCTATATATAGATGAATATTCCATCGTTGAATCAATTATCAGAACTTTCTTTATCGATAATATAATTCCAAATATATTCGAAAGATTCTCATCTTCATTTTCGAGATATTCGATATATTCAAAAATCATATCCTAAATTGATTATAATATAACGATCCCTAGAGAATTCGAATATTATTCGATCAATATATTTCATCATATTTATGAAAAGAATAAGAATTCACATATATATATATATCATATCATAAATCATCTTAGATAAGATAGTAAACTTCTTATCAATATATAACTACATCTCTAATTTTTGAAGAATTATCATTCTTATGATCAATACTAGAATTTATGAATCTAATTATAATTTCATTTTTTAAAATATTTCGCGCTAATATCTTCATATAATCTCCTCTTTTCAATGTTTGTTATAATGATTTTCAGATAATTCAATTTTTATTATCATATTTATTTCGATATTTCAATAGATCATTCTGAATGATAGATTATCATCTTTCATCAAGATCAAATAAAATCATTTCAAATTAATAAGAGATGATGAGAAATATAATCATATTTGAAATCTGATAAAATTAATCTTATTCAATTTTCTATATATTGGTAGAAAAGCAATAAAATCTTTTCTGAATTATATCCTAGTAGATAATATATATATAACATATTCTCTGAATTATTAGAATATTAGAACTGATCCGCTGCCTATAACAACGGAAAATATTCTTTGAGAATATCTACAACGGGAAATCTGATAAATAATCAATATATAAGACCGATAATGAAATCCGATATACGATCACCATAAAAGATCGCACGTGACCAAGATAGCTAACCTATAGATTCTGAAAAATTTTGGATCTCCGTCTCGGGTCTACAAATCCCCCGAGCCGAGAGAGAAATAATCTGAATTCTCGAGAATATTTCAATCGCGCGATCCGTCCAATCTTTCTCCCTCATTTATCTCTCTTAGGCTATCTGCGCGGTGGATCCAGGGGCCGCATAAATCCTCGTAGATAGATACGACCATTCTATAAATTCTAAAAGGTTTTAGCGCTCCGTCCATCTATACGCTCCGCCGACGAGCAATATCGCAGATAACTAAAAAGAGATAAGTTGCGCGGAAGATCGTTCCGGAGGCAAATTGAAAGATTTGAGATCTCCGCCCCGGGCATATCCATTCCATGATATTTTTGATCGCGCAATCCACGTATCTGACTCCATCTTTCCGCCTCATTTAGCTCTCTTGGTACATCTGGAGCGCATAAATCCCCGTAGACAACGTGGACAACTCATAAATTCTGAAAGATTTAGATTCCCCGTCCCGGGTTTACTCACTCCACCGAGCAGCGGCGCAAATTTCCAAAGAGAAATAAATCGCCCGGAAAAGAGGCAAACCAAAAATATCAGAGATTATAGAGCCTTTAATTTTTCCGAAGGATTCTCAATTCTCCGCGATTTTAGAATTCCTAGGGAATACACAAAAGGCATTTTTATAGTGAATCTGAAAAGCCAGGCTACGCGCGAGCGAAATAGACATAAAATATTGAAATTTGTTAATTGATCCGTTGCCTCCGTCTATACCGAGCCGCCAGACAAACAACTGAAGAGAGAAATAGTTCGAAATCTCGAGAGATTTCCCGATCTTTCTATCTCATTTATCTCTATTATCTACGCGGCGGCTCGAGGGAAGCCCAAATACGATACAACCATTCTATATAATTTAAAAGTGAGTCTCTATTCCAAATCTATGCATTCCAACGAATAATCGCGTCGATAATCAAAGAGAAATAAATTACGAGGAAATCTATTCCGGAGGCAAAGATCGTATATTCAAAAATTTCCGAGATTCTAAAATGCGCCGCCCGTCCCAAAAAATTCGAAGATTTTTGAATTTCTAGCTTTTCCGAAGGGCTCTAAAATCTCCGAGATTTTAGCGTCCTTATAGAGCCTGCAATAGGCCTTTTTAAAGATGAGCCGGAAAATCTAGGTCGCGCGCGCGAAATGACCCCAAGCGGCCGCGCCATAATATTGAATTTTTTCAAGAAGATGAGGATATATCTGGATTGCGAAAACAGACCTAGAGAGACTTACGCGGGAGGTTGTTTACGGCCACGAGGTCCGTTGCGCGGGTTGCAATGCCATATGAGCTATGATTTTTATTCCTTATTGATTTCTTTAGAAATAATAATCCTTCCGTCTACGACCTTCCGCGGAGTTTCCACGAAGACTAATTTCTATTTGGTCGGCACTTCTGAAATATCTTATTTTCACGGACCCTTCCGCAATGATTATCTTGGCAATTGCTTCCGCGATACTTCCGCAAATAGCCTTTCTATTCTTCCCATATATTTTATGGGATCGTCCTGAATTTCTGCAAGAACTTCCGTGAGCATGATGCTTCCGAGAAAGCTTCCGCGCGCGTAACGGAAAATATTTTTCGGAATCCATCCCGAGAGATGCAAGGAATTATTTCCGTATTTAAATATCAATAGAGAAGCGCAAATAAAAAACCATAGCTCATATATCATATGAGCTATAGTCTAAATTCGTGGCATCCTAGACCTCCTTGAGAAATCTCATAATAATCCCCTGACCAATCTCTCCCTTTATCGCTCCGTTTAAGGAATTTACACTATAGTATATCCAGGATGGTTAGAGTCTCTATTTAATAGGGAGCTATATGGAGTCCTTACGTGATAGATTATATTCAGCTCTATGCAGAAACGAATAGAGAGAGAGAGAGGTTGAAATTTGCCAGAATCGTAGTGTAGCTGCTTCTCCTCTTAGCAGATTCTTAGCGATATTGAGTCCCCTATATAATCACTCGCTTTATCATCCCATTTAAGGAGTTTAGATTAGAATGCATACAAGAAAATTATCTGCTTAAGTGGAATCTCTATTTAATAGGAAATTCTATAGAGTCCTTACGTGATAGATTAGATTCAATTCTATGCAGGAACCAATAGAGAGAGAGAGAGACCTGTCAATTCTAAGAGTTCAAGCGTAATATATTGATTAAATTTAATAATAAGAAGTATAATAGTAGCGTAAGACTGAAAGCTAGCCACTGAAATTTGTCAGAATTGTAGTTTAGCTATTTCTCCTCTTAGCAGATTCTTGGTAATATTGAGTCCCCTAGATAACCCCCCCCTTTATAATTCCATTAAAAGAATTTAGATTATAATTCACGTAAGCTAATTGTCTGCTTACGTAGAGTCTCTATTTAATAGAAAATTAAAAAGAGTCCTGATATGAGCGGCGGTTTTTATTCTATATTATTTTCTTTGGAAATACTAATCCTTCCGCCCGCGAGCTTCCGCAGAGCTTTCGCGAAGACTATTTTCCTCTTAGTCGGCACTTCAAAAAAGGTTTCCGCGAATAATATTTCATATCTTACGTATGATAATTCCAAGAGCTTCCACGAATATCATTTCCGCGTGCATAGCGAGAAATACGTTTCGGAAACCATCCCGAGAGATCTATGCAGAAACCAATAGAGAGAGAGAGAGAGAGAGAGAAATCTGCCAATTCTAAAGGTTCAAGCGTAGTATGCTAATTAAGTTTGATAATGCGAAATATAATAGTAACGTAGAGCGAAAGCTAGCCGCTGAAATTTTTCACTTTGCGGTTTAGCTACTTCTCCTCTTAGCAGATTCTTGGCGATGTTGGGCTCTACCATCCCCATATGCTATACAAAATTGAAATCATGCCAGTGATCAAACTAGATTTAATACGATTCTCCAAGAAAAAAATCTAATATTTCAAGAAATTATCAGAATTTGAAATATTTATATATTTGTTCAATATTAATTTTCATCTATTTCAAATCCTTCCTATTCGGTTTTTATAATCGATTTTCTAGTATATTGATGGGGAGAATATATTAATTTCAGTTAATCTTCCTCTTGACCTATATCTCAATTCCAATTATTATTTTGATATTTTGATTCCGCATATATTCAACCAGGTAGCACAAGCGCAAATGCCCTGAAAATATTGAGCCAAATAGCTTTGCCAGATGGAACCCTTCTGCGCAAAAGTCAGAGGACCGTCCACGAGCTCGGTGCATCGCAGGAAGCTTCTGGCATGTTCGTGTTGCTGTGCTATCCGCAGCCGATGGCGCTCACTTAGGACAATGCAGGCTGCAATGCTCAGATTGCATGAATGCATCCTCTGAAGACATCTGTTCTCACATTCCTCAGCCTCATGTTGGTTGGCATTCTTGTGGTCAGCTTCATGGCCTCCATGTCTGGCCAAGGCTGAGCTGCCAGCACTGCTCGAACAGCTAGGAATAAAGCCTCCAACGTCACATGTTGTGAACAGCTCTGGCATCGGTTCGCCAGACTCTCCACCAAATATGAATGCAATAGGGGCTCTCACATCTCGGATGGCAGAAGCCTTATCATATATCGAGCAGTAATGAAATCTGTCCTGCGTGGGTACAGGCATGTCCTGCGCAGGACTTGGGGCATAGGTGCAAAAAGCCATGCCATACCCCCATAAGGGAAAAGCTAAGTGTTTTGAATCACCACGTAAAACCCAATGCACGCAGCATGTCAGAGCTTGGGCTTTAATTGGGACACCCTAGGAAAACTCCTTCAAACAACAGGTCAGAGCTTGGTG